CACGCGCGCGCACCCCCATAGCCGGGGGCGCAATCCGACTGGACCGATTCGAGTAAGTGGATAGCTCGTTGGTCAGATCTCGCCCGGGAAGGCCAATTCCTTCCGTAAATTTCCGGTAGGCTATTTCCAAGAAACGAGTTTCCATTCGATTCGATCGGCTGCCTCCGTTCTCTTCCCGCGTGACGAGGCGAACCGGGTATTGCCACCACACCGTGAAGGGAAACCCGTGAAGGGGATACGAAGTTCATGGCGCAAGGATCCCTCGGACTTTTTGTCGTTGACCGGTGCAAGAAAGAAAGGAAGACGCGACCGCGTCTCGCCTCGCCGCTCTCGATTCTGTCGCGCGCCAAGCCACCGGATCGCCGTTGGCTCCTGCCGTCGAAATACAACGAGGGTGAAGCATCCTCCTGCGCAAAATGAAAGTAACAACACGGAAATCTACCCTTCCGTCGTTCGAGCGTCTTTGCTTCGTAGTAAAGTAACATCACGTTCGGTCGAGTCATCTGTATCCATAGACGGATTACTTTGCAACTCGATGTGATCTGTCTACAATAATATATCTCCCCTAACAATGACGATCCTTTGGAAAAAAAAAAAAAATGTGTAAAATGTCATTGTCTTTTTTGATTTTCATATTTCTGTTCTCGACAAAAAAATAACTAAATATCAAAATTATAATATTAACTTGTAAAGTACTTCATCGTTATTGTAAACAACATCATGTCGGAATGTTATAAACATGAACATGAAAAGGATAAAAATAAATTATTTTGCCACAAAACTATGAAACTGTGAAAATAACATTAAATTAATTTAAATTAATTTCTTTATTGAAATAAAATTGTTTTTTGAAGAAGAAAAAACCATATACAAGATAAACAGGATATTGTCTCTCCAATAATAACTAAAGTAATATTTGCTTTATAAGTAATGGAAAAATATTTTCAGAAAATATTAACAGATGGGAGATTTCAAAAAAAATCTAAACAAAAATCCTTCGCTGTTGTCCCCTGTCGATAATCGACATGATATTTTTCCTGACAACCTACATCGTTCTGGTGGAATTTTTAACGGACCTTATCAGCGCGAGCAAGGGACAAGTATAAAGATTAGCATAGGCTTAGTATTTATTGCATGCCTCCGGCTCCAACGACGGGCATAAATATTGTTTAAGGGCGACTCTTTATCATATAAACGCCCCGGCGTAACGGTGCTCATTTGAATTCCCGCTTTTTCCAGGGCATAAAATGGGCTTCGTCGACGCGCAACAAGCCGTTTACTTCCCTTCGGTTAACGGGGTAGTTGCTGGCGCCGCGGTGCAGCAACGGCAGCGGGAAAGCCGCAAGTCTTCGAACGATTGTGCGAGAGAAATGCAAGAAACCCTCGTGGATTCGTTATAATTTTATTATGTGCGTATCTTATGCAATTCACGGTTTTCGGTTTTGAGCGTCTCGTTTTTACGCGTCGTTGTTTAATCGTCGACAAATTTAAACGTAATACCGTGACCAGATTTCAGAGAAGACACACACTTCGAGAGTTAAATCGACCGCGCTGAGAAAAGAAAGCGAAGTAATTACTCACTGTGAAGTTTGGTCGCTTCGCGATTCAACGGCGTCGACAATGCTTTCAGCCGCGGCGAACGCATTCGATTTCGATTGCCTTCCGTTACCTGGAAATCCGCGTTCAGCTTACATATTTATGTCCTCGATTTCCGCATCGGCGAGCCGTGACTGTCGATGGACCGTCAATCGTTCGACGATCGACGCGTGTACTTTAAATACCAAGAGGAGCCTTGAAAGCCGTTTCGATTAATGAAATTCCGCAACACGTCCGCAATTAACCCTCAAAGACCCGAGGCGCCGCTCGAAATGTCCAGCGGCGCGCTAATGGCGGGCGACGGTCGTGTAGCATTCGAAACGCATTTAATGAATTCATTATCGACCCAAATCGGCATTCAGCCCCGCGTTTTCGCTCAAGGCCGGCGCAAAACGGTGGCGCGTTTCCGAAAATCGATGTACGTGAAATCGTTTCGGGTTAAATCGCCACGTCGAGTAAACCGCTGATCTCTAATCTAATTTCAAAAATTAGATACGTGGAAAGGGACGGGAGGGAAGGGAGGGAGGAAGGTGCAATTCCCAGTCGGTTTGTCGATCCGTGAAATCGGAACGATCCGGCGCGTCGTAATGTCGATTGGGCAAGTTTTTCGATCAATTCGCGTCGCGCACATTGGGAAAAATTTCACTTCGATCGCCGATCGCTTTTCGTTAACCGCCACGTCCGATTTCGTACGGGCGAGGTTGAAACGGGGGGAGGGGAGGGGGGGAGAGAGAGAGAAACGAGTAGCGGGGAATAATACAATTTCAAAAACTCGCGTATACGTAAAACGTCTCGGACGTCTCTTTTAAAATAAGATATTAAGGGGAAAGTCCTAAAGAGAGTCCATTTGCCGCGCTCAAAGTGCCAAGCGCGCAACGATACACGTCCTCGCTCTGTGTGCAAAAAGGAGAACATCATGAAGAGAGGACGAAGTTTCATCCTGCGCGAGTGCCGAAGGAGAGCTTGAAAAAGTTTAGTCAATATCTGCAGGGGAGAGGGAGGGAGATACGGAAAACGGATACGTCGCGTATCGTAACGTAACGGACGTGTGACGCTCTCGCTGCGTTTTTAACACGTTCAATTATATACCTACCGCGGTAACGACGACAGATGTTCGGTTACATCGTCGTGACGTTGTCACTCGCGCGTTTCAGAATGATGTCTTCATTAATAATTAACAGCGCCCGCTCGGCAGCTTCGCGAGCGTAATTACAACTAGGGGGGGGGCACACGCGCGCACGCTCGCGTCGAGAAGAGAGTTACATAATTCTATTAATAATGCCGGGTCATTACATCTGCCGGGAAGAACCGCGTGAATAATGAAAACTTCACCGCGACAAAAACTTCGCCGCGGGAGGCATTAATTGCTAACGAGGAGCGAGAGATCAAACTCATGATCTTAATGCGACCCGTCCCGGGGAACATTTTGAGAATGTCACCCCTAGTTTTCTTTTTCCATCCGTTAATATCGCGCAGCATGTGGTGCAGGGAAGATTGAACCGAAGTTTCCGTCCGAGAGAAAGAAGAACAAAAAAAAAGGGTAGTAGTGTAGAGAGAGAGAGAGAGAGAGAGAGAGAGAGAGAGAGAGAGAGAGAGAGAGAGAGAGAGAGAGAGAGAGAGAGAGAGAGAGAGAGAGAGAGAGAGGAGAGAGAGAGAGAGGGGGGGGGCAAGACGTAGGTGGACGTCGGTCCGTTGTGTTCTCTCCGGGGGGATTTTCGCGTGAACTTTTCTCAAGTTATACCTCGGCATTCTTCTCCGAGCCACGACATGACAGTGAAAGCAAGTATTTTCATAAATCTCCAGGAGCGACATAGATTGATCATGTCGCTGTATCGACGTCGCCATTACACCGTAATCGCTCGGGTCCGGATATACGTTAATGGACGACGCCGCTATATCGCATGTAACTTAGATACATACGATCGTCCCGAAGCTACGAGATCTTCGTAAACGACAAATGTCGAAATGTCCGTATATTTTGCGTTTAAGGTATACATTTATATTACAGCGTCTGCATTACATTTGCGCTCGAGTAACATTTCTTGAGCCTTTTACACGACAAATTTGCGAATTTGCGAGGTAAAATAATCTCGACTAATTATCTACTATTTTATTTTATCTACTTACTAATTATCTCCAATGATAAACCGATCACTGTGCTTTCGATGCAGGACTCAAAATACAAATGTATCTGCCGTAAATTAGCCTTACAATAGGAACAATTTTGTCGTATTACGAGTGCAGTCGGTACAGTCGGACTGATTCGGGGATAGCGGCCGAAACACGGCGTTACATCCGTTATTTAGGGGTAG